TTTCTGCTTTAGGGAATCACTTGAGAGAGCTTACTGCTTTACTTTGAAGGCCTGGTAGAATTGTATCTGATCCTTGACTTTTGGAGTTGTTACACTTCTCTCCCATTTATATTCTTTATCCCATCTATACTTAACTTTGCTAGGTCATAAATGTGTAGAAAACCAATATTATCTTTTGAGGTTTTCCCACTTAGAAGAATATAAGTTTGTAAGATATGCCCTTATTGTTGTAGGTTATTCACCACAGAAGACTATTCACAAATGTGTTTAAGTCAAGAGAAAGACTTTATTAACTGGGTGTTCAGGATCCCAGTGTACTACTGAGACTTTCTCAAAGTGAGCTTTTATGCACAAAAAGCATGTCCTTGTTTGACATACTTCAGTTAACAAGAACAGTTCACCAGAAGCAGAACTATAGAAACTAAAAAGCAAGGCTAGTACATTTTAAGTCTTTCCCAGACAATATGGACTTTGATTTATTAGGCCTTTGTTTCAGTTTTTAGGTGGTGCTGTTTGTGTGCTGAGTTCTACATTCTGAATAGTACTTCCATCGTGGAGTCAGCTGTGCTAAGGTCTGTGGACCTGTTCCCCCTTGGTTTTAGTGAATGAGTCAAATTATAGACTCATCCTGTTTTAGTTTAAGATGTAGGACCTGGCTCTTAATTCAATCAGAATGAGAACTGAAGGCCCATCCAGTGTGGATAGTAGAGTCGATAGTCAGGGAAATAAGAGAACAGAGACTGGTACCATATATTATTCCAACCATGGCAAGATTATTTTAAAATTACTGATCAATAGAAACAACACTTTTCTCCAAGATCAATACATATCTTCCCTTATCTCATGAGAAACCTTAACCTCTCTTATTTTGTGAGGCAATGTAGTAATTGCTGTAATACCTCTAGTTCTAATTAACCTGTGTACTTAGTTTGGAAAGCATCAGAAAAAAACACATTTATTCAGAACATTGTTACTGCTAATCAAGTAGTTTCAGTGACTTGGTGATATTTCTGTTACACAGATGAATTAACCTGCGATAGGAACCAGCAGACATCAGAATAAGGATAAATAATTATGATATCATCCTCTATTGTTGATTTGGACTGCCCCAGTCACAGTGTGTTTTGTTAGTCAATCGGTTGACAATCTGGTGGGTACCTACACCTGTGTAGTCCAGGGGTTGGCTGTCAACCCTTTCCTGAGACATAGAGACTGACTCCCAGGGTTTCTTCCCTAAAGGCCAAACATTTTTCTCTGCTCCCCTCCCTGCCTTTCCCCTCTACTTCACCATCCCCCAAGGTCGCCGTGCTCCCAATTTACTCAGGAGATCTTATCTTTTTTCTACTTCCCATGCAGATTAGATCTCTGTATGTCTCTCTTAGGATCCTCATTATTGTCTAGGTTCTCTGGGATTGTAATTTGTGGGCTTGTTTTCTTTGTTTTGTGTTTAAAAATCACTTCTGAGTGAGTGCATGTGATAACTGACATTCTGGGTCTGGGCTACCTCACTCAAAATGATTTTTTCTAGCGCTATCCATTTGCCTGCAAAATTCAAGATGTTGTTATTTTTTCTGTTGTGTAGTACTCCATTGTATAAATGTACCACATTTTCCTTATTCATTCTTTGGTCGAAGGACATTTAGGTTGTTTCCAGATTCTGGATCCCGTAATCTTTAATGACAGGCATTTGGTCAGCATTTAGGGTCAAGGCAAAAGTGTTCCGTTTAAGACATTCACAAATATCTAATACTTAGAATTACTACTCAAACAAAGGCGTTAATTCATAGCAGCTCACATAGATAGAAAAAATAACCATGCCTTACTTTTTACCTCAAATACAGATAAAGAAAGAAATAGCCTCAAACTAACTTTGCATTAAAACATTCCTAAATCCTCACCTCAGCTTCACCTCAATGTACTGAAGATTTTAGTTCAGTAGATTTCCTGCTTGTGCCTTACTCTCAGGACAAAGAATTAACCATCTACCCACAACCCACATGAAGGCAAAACTTCAATGGCTCCTCTGACAAGCATCAAGCTTAAGAGCTTGCTAACACTGAAACTCACATGTGACAAAAACGCTAATACCTTTCCCTTCTCTGTTTTACATAGGTTGCCTGGTTACCTATACCTACAAGATTCTGTGGCTCTATATAGCTGAGTTAAAACAAAGAGAAAGGAAAAAGCAGCAAAAGACAGGAGCACGGACTAACAGAAGCTTGGAGCATAAATTAGAGAAAAGTGTCCCAGATGTTAGCAGAGAGAGGAAATGAAAAGGAAGAAGAAAAAGAATATAGCAGAGAATTGGAATTTAAATTAAGATTAAGACAGAGAATTATAGATAAGAAATTATAGACAGGAAGCACAGAAAAAATAGAATAGAATACAAGGAAGAGAGAAAAATTCAGAGATATGGATAGAAAGAATATATTGTGAGTAGATTTTTAACCCTCAGATTTTATTTCCTTTGAACACTGAGAGGGATCCTTAGAAGCTGGACTTTTAACATTCCCGTTAATATCCTCCTTTTCTCTTAAGAAAGAGATTGACTATTTCCATAAACTATTTATAACAAACCCTCTTTAAATGAAAATAAACAGTCATAAATAATATTTTGAGAATTTTGGTATAATTTTCTATACTACTTCCTCCTGATTAGGTGTGCTGGTAATCTTATGGGGATCCTGAGAATATTTAGAATTAAGGTCAAGTTCTGAATGGGGTTTTTTGTATGGTTTATCCATCTCAACCAGTAGCCCTGTAGCTATTTTAAATATTGTATCACCTGGGCCATTGTTCCCGTTGGAGTTCTTACAGAGGTTCTTGCTCATTGAAACCATATTAACCTGGAAAGAATCCATAGCTTCTCATCTTCTGTGGAAACAAAAACCAAACTTCTTTTCCAAAGCAACATATACTTAGATATAAAGTTTGAAGTCAAGATACCTTGAAATCATACATGTTTGTTTGACTTAGTAGCCCACATAATCAAATGTCTCTCAGCACTTAGCTCATTACAAACATTCAAAGAAAATGCAATGATATACATAATCCAGACTCTCCATGTATTTTTCATTTTCACGTGGCTTATTATAATATTTATTATTCATTCCTTTTTCAAAAACTTCATTTACTATCTTGATTATTCTTTCATCTATGACTGTCTCCTGTTTCTTTTCTCGCTCAAGTCTACATACATATTTAAACATACTGTAACCTGATTACAGATTTCTTTATGTCTGAATCTGTCTTCATTGTGTATCTGTAATTCTTTTCTGACCACTGATTTAAACTGCCAATCAGGCATGGCTAGGACCAATGTGGCAGCTTTGACTACTGGCTCCACCTAGTTAGGCTTTCCAACATGGTGGAGGTAGCAACAGGTATCTCATGCTTCCTTCCCATAGAAAGCACATAGAGGTCTTTCTACAGAGACCCTTGTAGGAGTCTGCAGAAACTCACCATGCAATCTGCAGCTGTGCTCTCAAGCCCACAGGCAGTGGCTGGGAGGAGCCTCTATATACAGCAGCAATGAAAGACCTCAGGAATCTGCCATGCTGCAGACAGAGAATATATTTCTCTACCATGGCATCCAATGAGAGGCATGAACTATGATTCTGATTTTGGCTCCAGTATGGAGTGACTAGAAACCCTTTTATTGCTACAAGCTACAGCATTATTCAGTAATTAATTACCCTCATTTCACAAGGTCAGCACAAAGCCAAGGACTTTATATGGAGAATTAGGCAAAGTTACAAGATGTATTGGAATTATTGCCTTGTGAATAAAGTGACGTTACTTGCTGTAAATTTCTCACTGTAGCGTGCTCCCATCTGTTACAAATTTTGGATTTATCTTCTCAGGCAGGCGATCCATGGCATCTGACACTCTGCGCTTTTCTCAGCATTCAGTTCTGTTTACTCCACCTACCTAAGGCCTGTCCTATCCAGTAGGACAAGGCAATTTCTATATTCAACCAATGACAGCAAAACATAAACAGAAGGACCTCCTACACCAGAGATGGTTTTAGCTTACCACACCATAGTGAGAAAAGATTCTCTGAAAAGATGTGTGTGTGTGTGTGTGTGTGTGTGTGTGTGTGTGTGTGTGTGTGTGTGACTGATATGTAGTTAAATGTTTGAGAACTGGGGACATCTCTGTGGACGTACGAGAGTTCAAACTGTGTTCATTTCCTACAAATTCAAAGGCTGCCATATTTGAAGTCAGATTGACCTTTCACATATGCTTTCTCTATGCCTTTGGGAAACATCCATCACCGGCACGCTGCCTTTGGGAAACATCCATCACCAGCACGCTGCCTTTGGGAAACATCCATCACCAGCACGCTGCCTTTGGGAAACATCCATCACCAGCACGCTGCCTTTGGGAAACATTTATCACCGGCACACTCCCCTCTTGTAGATTTGGGACTGCAGAATCTTCTTGGTTCATGATGCTTTTGCTTTGTAAAAATTAGCTAAAACAGACTCTGGAAGTCCTACCTTCCTTCCATCTTAGGAACTAAACTTGAGGTAGGAGTCCCTCTGCTCTGCTTTGTCACTTACCAGCTCTCTCCTCCTTGAAGTATTTGTTTCAACCACCATACATATCCATTCTCCTTCATCACATTGACCTCAACAAGGCCACTATTCCTTCATTTCTCTCCTTGGTGGTTGACTTTAGACTTGTTTCCCCTGTCTTCCCATAGCTATTACTGTCATTTACAGTGACTTCAACACCCACGTGATTGACCAACCCTGCACACAGCCCTCTCAGCTCTTGTAGTTCCACTCTTCCTAAACAATTTCAGGCACCAAACTGAAATCCCAAAAATGCACAATGTTTGATATTTGTTGTTATACATATTTATGTTATTGATGTTCCACAACTGACAATGTATTTGGTCAGACAATTTTTTCTGAATTATCCTGTGTCTGCAACACATTCCCATGTAGGGAAGTAGTTCTGAAAACGTTCATTGCTAGCCACCTTAAACAGCATCAAGATCCTTCTTCCACACAATTCATTCTTGACATCTTATGAGGAATTAAGAAAGAGGAAGAAAGCTTCTCTAAAATTCCAGAAGTGACATTCAGCTCGCAGTCTCCCTTGGAGGCGTGGGTTCGAATCCCACTCCTGACAACAAAAAGAAAAAAAATTCCAGTAGTCATGGGGATATTTACAACAGAACTGTGAAATAAATATAAGGATTTTAAAACAAGACCTTATTGTTTCAAAATATCTTTTGGACATGATGCAGCTATGACAGTAGCTATAGTTGCTATAAAAGATATGCACACTGTCAAGCCGGTCGTCACTCCAGCAGGGAGCAGCAATGAGCTTAAGGGACCCAGTTCTAGCTGAGGAAAACTTAGTGGTTGATAGCTGGCCACTAGGAGAGATAGAGTGTGTTTTCTACAGATGTGTGTCTCATGATCAGTTGCCTGGGCTCCAGTAGATGGTATTTTATGGCCATGAACATGAGGCCAACACTAATTTCATTCAGAAATAAAAATGAGGAGGAAGAAGAGGATGAAGAGGAAAAAGAAGATGTGAAATTAGGAGCGGGATTTGAGTGTGTCAGAGAAGTTGGAGACGGAATAGATATATTCTAAATATATTTTGTTCATATATGCAATAGTAAGGGTCCTTGAGAATCATCACTCTCATGGCCCATTGTCAATCTTTAGAAATTGTTTAAACTGTGTGTATGTGGGAGTCACAGATATGTAATGGGAGTACTGGTGACCTTTCGGGCCAGAAAAGGAAGTCAGATCCCCTGGAGCAGGAGTCACAGGATTTGTGAGTCATCCCAGGGGGATGCTGAGAACTGAGCTTCTCTGTAAGATCAATGTGAATTATTCTTGAGCACTGAGGCATCTCTGAGCTACCCACCTTTTATATTCTACACTGTAATGACTCTTTAAATGCAATTCCTCTCTTACTTTGCAAATAAATAAATAAATATAATAAAATGACAGACATAAACTGAAATGATTGCCTGTGGACATAATATGTTTATATATTGAGTTACATAAGATGTATTTTTTAAATTACTATTTAAAAGTAACAAAGAAAAAAAAACAGCATTAAGATGCAAATGTTATGCTTCCTGGCACTGAGGTTCTCACCTTAGATTCCTTCGGAAAGCTTCTCCTATTTCAGGATACTGAAATTTCACCATGTAATAGAGAATTTTAAATTATTATCCCTATTTTAAAATGTAAATTTGTCATGTTTTCCCAGCATTTTTCAAGAAACCTATGAAACAGACCATAAGGAAATGCATGTGTCCCTTCAATTTTTGATTCCAACTTGTTCTCCCTAGTGGAAGCCAAAGGATCACAGGTTACATTAATTTTCTAGAAGACTTGATCCATGCTCCTGTGCATGTGAACAGAATAGAACTATTTTTAAAATTAATCACACTGTTAAGTGGAGTTTTCACTTTATTTAATAAGAAATCTTTATGATCAACTTACATTTGTATACAGGAAGCTTGACTAACACTTGTTTCTAGACTAAACAGTAGTCCAGCATCAGGACATAGTACAATTTGTTACCAATCTTTCTCAATGATGCTTAAGTAGGTTCCAGATTTATCACCAATGATATCAATGCCTTTTCTTCTTGCTGTAACAAAATGGTTCAACAAAGGCAACTTAAGAAAGACAGGGTTTGTTCCGGTTCATGGTTCCAGATGATACACTACCATGGCAGAGAAGGCATGTAGTAAGAAGCAGTGACTGGCTGATCACATGACATCCAGGCAGGAAGTAACAAGTGGTACATGTTAGGGCCCAGCAAGGTTTCACCTATTAGATAAGTTCCCAGGCCACAGGGATGGTGATGCCCGCATTTGGGATGGGCTTCCTACCATAGTGACCTGAGATGATTCCCCACAAGCTAACCTAGTCAAGATGGTCCTCACAGGGTGCAGAAGAGATGTGTCCTTGGTGATTCCATATCCAACCAAGTTTGACCAACAGTCACTGTGACGTGTACAATGAGTAATTACATAGCTTCCAATAGGAATGGTTTAAACATCTGTGCCCTGAAGAAAGCATTGTCTGTGCAGACATGTACATGTTCTATCTAAAGTGCGGCAGGCATACATGTTCTTTAATAAGCACGTTTAATGCTGATTTTGCTGAATGAAAATGAAAACATTAAGTTACATAAAAAGGCAGAGTATATATTCATGGTCTATCACTTCATCAAAATAAGAGTGAATCCTATTTAAATACTGAACTAATTTTTTTATAGCCATCACAGGCAGTAAAAAAGGGGCAGCAATCCCTGTAGCAAATTCATTTAGAATATGACCTACAAAGGTACCACTGTTTTCTTCCATGTCATTGATAGTAGATTTCAGTCGCTGTATATCTCCTTTCATTTCCTTTGATTTCTTCCTAAATCCTCCTTCAAGCAAAGCCTTTTGATGCTAAAAACAGTGTACATGAGAGAGAAGATAATATTGTAAAATCCCAACATTGTACAAGTTAGTTATAGTTTCAAACGTTTGGAAAGCAATCCTAAGTGTAGCTCTAAATTACTTGCTTTTATATGAAGAAGGTTCTCTGAGTTAATCCTACACACTGTGAGGAAGAATAGTGGAAACTTCACTGGAGTTGTTCCATCATTTCTGTTTGGTTGTAATGCTGGCAGAGTTGTGAAGACATTCCTACACTCCTGCCCACTGACTTGCAATTGGTCAGATTGTGTGGAGCTCAATCCACTGAGACAGTGTGGCAACCACATCATACAAACAGTGGTAACCAATAAGTTGTTTTAAAAATCTGTTACCATTTTGCTTGATGTTGGGCAATGAGAGAATCACTCTCCTGCCATGTGCTGTCTCAAGCAGCTGTCCACTCTGGAGACAGCTACAGGACCTACAGAAGCTGTCAATTATCTGTTCTTTGCAGTACGGTATTTCTTTCAGTTTTATGTCAGCATTGATCATTCTCAGATTGGGAGGGTGGGTGTCAGGTACCTGATAATGTAGGCCTTGATAACCCAGGCCCATTGCTGTCCTTATTAAGCTGCCTAGCTGGGAGTTTCTTCAGTGAGTACCAACAAGGTTGTTTTTAAATATCCTGAATTGATGTATCAGACTATTACAGTCATTCAAACCCTAAAGGAGCAACTGAAAGCCTAAGGGAAATTTCCTTAGCAACAATACCTTTGGAGGTGCTTCCACTCAGGAACAGGCTACATAATTTCTCCTACTCCCTAGGGTATGACAGGCACCAGGGAAGGAGGAGTCCTACCTGCAACTCCGTCTCCAGCATTATTTTATGTTCCTTGATGAGCTGTTCACGCTCCTGCATCAGCTTCATTTTCAGTTGCTCAATGTTCTCCTCATGACTTCTTTCTTGAGCCTCTATCTCTTGCTGAAGCTCCTCCTGCTTCTGTTTTAGCAACTCCTGTTCCTTCTCAGCTGCCTCCTTCTGGGCCCGCTCCTCTGCCCCAGGAAGATTCATGGAGGGAAGAAAGTGATGGGAGAATGAGGATGGATGGTGGGGGACAGAAATGATGGGTTAAGTAAAAAGTCTATATTCCAAAACCCAGAGAGCAATTCTGTTCTGAAAGGAAACCACAGACTCCACATTGGTCCACACAATGGAGAGAGTGTTTCTAAAGGGGATGAGGAGACCCTGCCCATCTGGCTGAAACACAGACTGACTTCCTGTTGCTCTCAGAGTGAGCTTCCACAGAAAGGTAGAGAGCTGATAACATGGGGTTGGGTTACTGTGGCCTCTGTCAGGAAGCCTTGTGGGAACATAGCCCCTCATGAAAGCCAAGAGACAAGCTCCTGTACCTGCAATGGCCTTCTCCCCAGCAGTGAGGGCTGTATCTGCCTGCAGGATGGAACGCTCAATGATGGCTTGTGACTGCAGAAAGCTCTGGAAGACTTCACTTGCCTGCAAGACCAAGAAGCAGCAAAGAACTTGATGCATCCTGGGAGAGAACCTGTGTGAGTTAACACAGTCTCCACTGTGCCTCACTGTCAAATGCTATGGTGAGGCCTGCAGACTGCCCTGCTCTTCACTGACACTAGATACTTCTGGGTCAATGGCTCCCCTTTCATCCCCACTAGGGCCACCTGCCACCACCTGTTCCCAGATCATTCCTGTCCACATCATGTGCAGATTTGGGCACTGTAACTTATGATGTTTTCAAATATTGTATCCCCAAGTAAAATGCTGCATAACTGTGTGGGCTTCACTTTTTCTGCTCTTGTTGACTGTATTCATGGTCAAGTCCCTCCATCTGCCTGAACTTCAGGTACAAATGTGCAAACTCTCACAGTAGTGGTGGGCATCACCCAAAGCATTTTACATAACTAAAGAAAGGACTGAGGAAAGAACCCTCCATGGTGTCAATGACAGCAACTGAGTAATATGTTAGCTGTGTTGTTACATTAATTAATAGCCCATAGGTAGACCATCTTGACAAACTTGAAACATTGTTACTAAGAATTTTTATGTAACTATTTCTCAGAATTAACAGTAAGTAGCAGCCATTTCAGTCAAGCACAGTTCTGGTGATGGGGCTTGAGGGTAAAGCACTTGCTTAACCACAATGCCTTATTTTGGTCACCAACAAGAAGCTAGAGATGCCATGCTATCCATGTGTTTTCTTATTCCACTTAGAAAGTGCTGTGTGCCTTTGTTTTATGACACCATCCTTCCTCTGCTATGAGCATCCATGCCCGCTACACCTAACATCTTCCCCACACTCCCTACTCCCCACCTCTTCCCCATGTTCCCTGCTCCTCACCCCTTTCACATGGTCCCTACTCCTCATCTTCATCCCTTCCCCATGCTCCCTACTCATCATCTCCTCCCCATGCTCCCCGTTCCTCACCTTCACCCCTTTTCGGGGCACCTGCCAATAGTCATGCTCAATCTTCCCCCTCATTTCCATGTAGAGCCTGTGTCCTCCAGGAACAGAAAATGGTGAAATATTTTCCATAAAAGCCTTTGTAAGTCGATTGAGTGCTTCCTGGCAGTATTGATCTGATGTTTTTTCATTTTTTAACATGAACATCCTTTTCTTCTCATCTATTAATTCCTACAAGGGAAATGGACAGAGATCTGGCACGGTAAGGAATAGAAGGGATAAAGTTCCAAGAAAGTTTGGATAAGCGTCAGCCTATTACCCACAAGAAAGTATTGTGTAATAAGACCACAAGAGAATGTAAGCCTGAATTAGGATTCTAAGAAATCTGTACAAGAGCACAGTAAATGTTCTTGAAGTTCCTAGTCCTCAGGACCTTCTGTAAAATGATAGTTCTGCATGCTACAATCTCCGATTTCTATTGGGGTCCCATCCTGTAATTCTATCTTCAATGACACAAAGATATGACAAGGAGCAATAGAAGAACAGTGGCCTCCAGTGGGACTCTTATGAGAAAAAAAGTGTTTTGTAGTAACAGAAGAATATAGCTTGTTCAGGGATGAGATACAGGTGTTCTGGGCAGGATTGGAATCCACAGACATTAACTGCATGAAGGATTTAAGACACTATATTCTCATTATTCCAGTCATTCGAGATTTCTGGATAAAAAGCACCTGAAGTTTGAGAAAGGAGCATGAGTCTTTCACCACTGTGTTCCCTATGACCACACAGAGTGCTCATCTTTGAATGAATCACACACCCGGGGTCATGAAGGCACAGCAGCACCACAGCCTTGAATCAGCGTCATGAAAGATAATGATGCCAACATTACCAGCAGCTTCTTCTGGAATTGCTGGTTTTCGTCCTTGAAGGAGTGCTCCATGAAGACAGCAATGGCTTCCTTCTCACAGGCTGTGTGCACACCCAGTAGCTCCTGGAGCGTGTCTGTGGGGAGCCTCAGTCGCTGGCCCATCTGCTCACTGTAGTGCTCAGCTGCCTTCTGCACAGCTGCTGAGTTCTCACGCTGGGCCAGAGTTGTCACTGCATTGTCCACACAGGGCACAGCTCCACTGCTGATGGCATCCACGTAGGTCGAGACCAGAGTCCCCAGTCCTTCACAAACCAGGAGGTTTAGGGGATAAGTATGAAGTTATAAGTGACAGGGATCCAGATTTAAGACTAGATTTCTAATCTTTCACAGCAATATATGCACACTCATAAACACAAACAAACAATCTCCTAAAACAAGACATCATCTTTTTTTATTGTCCTCTTGTTTTTGTCATTTTCTCGTCCTAGTCAAAATTAATATCAATCTTCACACAATAAATTCAATTATCTATAAAAAATTTAATTTTGTCTTTAAATCTTGAAATTCATTAAAATAGATAAACTAACATCAACAAGGAAAAATGTATCATTAAATCTTAAAAGAATGGATTTACATGGTTTAAACACTAGTACTTATGTTAGAACTATTTCATTTCCAAATTATATTTTACATTGTCATTCCAAAAATAATTAGTATACAAATCACCCCCTCTGAAAATAGAATACATCAACTTTAGCAGTTTAAACAAGTACATTTTCATTTGTGATTTTATAATCAGTTGAGAATTTCATATAGGTGTACTGGAGCTATAGATACTAGTGATGAAGTCTGCATTGTTAAAGAAGGATTTGTAATCCATAGTAAATTATAAAACATACAGGATTTTTCAGAGTAGAGACACAAGCATATTATCACTGTATAGATAATTTTTAAAAATCCACATACTAATTTCAACATATACTACTCTATGCAGAAGTATGTTCCAAAAAACCCACTCACGATTCCCAGTGACCTTAATTCCCTCTTTAAGCGTCTTGACCTTTGCAGCAGTGAAGATGTAAGAAACAAAAGCCCGTGTTTGTTCCTGGAACATAGGATCCAGCTGGTCTTCTGAGATAGTATCAAGCTTGCGTAACAGTGCTTTGTTATGCGTTGGTTGGTCAAACACAAAACACTTTCGTTTAGGAAAGAAATGTCTGATGCACTCCCTGGACAGATTGGATGCTTGGATTCTGGGACTGTCACCTGGTGTTGAGGGAAACACAAAGCAATGAGAATAGACTTAGAGCAGAGAGGAAATGATGGAGGCCCTTGTCTCTGTGAAGTGTTCTGTGCTCACGGGTCTCTGCCATAAACATGCAACACTCTTTACTGGTCAAAAGTATACCAAGTTTGTACTTGGCAGACGTCTGGTGAAATATTCAGGAGACATTTGACTCCACTGGAGCATCAAACGGGTGATATCCACAGACCTGAACATGCCATCAAGCACATTTTAGTTGTGCATCCTGTTGACTGAGCAACAAAAGACTAAGTATGATTTCTGATCCAATCACTCCTTTGTAGAGAAGGAGCTATGGGGCTCAAAAGAAGAGCAAGAAGGGATGTTTTTAAAAAAGTAGTAAAAATAGCAGCATTAGCAATTCTCAGAATGATGCCATGGTTAGCAAAGGAAAACTACCTTGATTCTAAAAGACTTCACTTGTTGTCAATGCTAAGTATACACTCATAGAAAATATGTGCTCTTCACAACTAGGGAAGGATGGCGGGTCTACGAATATATGTAGGATATTTAAGTCTAGAGATTTGAAGAGGAACTTCAAGACAGTATTTTAATTAACTGCTGAACTGAGGATTCTCTCTCTTTTGATCATGTGGACATTTGTGGTGTGTGTATCCATGTTTGCCTGTGTCTGGGTTATGTGTGTGAATGAAAGAAAAAAGAATGAAACAGAAAGGAAAGGAAATCAGGTGGAATACACATTTAATTGAAGTAAATGAGAGGAAAAGACAAGAGTTCCAGGCCAGCGTGATTTGGGCTACATAGTGAACACCAGGACAGCTAAAGGCTACATTTGATTCCTGGTTTAAAAATAAACAATAATAAAAGATTATATTAAAGGGACTCTGATCAGCTCGAGTGTGGTGAGCATGGTACTGGCTGGCTTTGCCTTTCCCTTATTCCCTCTGCCTTGCTAAAGGCTTTAGATTACATTTTCAAAGCTAACTACCATAGTCTATTTCTTTAGTATGCCATTTCATCCTCCTGAAACCAAATACCAAGATCCAGCTTTGGAAGTATCAAAGTCTAACAACCCAAACGCACCTTGGCTCACCTAATTAACATGCCCAATTAAAATTAAAGAACTCATCGTTACATGAAATGTCCTCTTTTATTTTGTAAACTGCCCTTTGTCTAGGTGCCATAATTGTCTCCACTCTATCCAGAGGCAGTCCTTAGTCCTCTGAAACAAATATCTGTGCCCATCTCCCTTTCCTCCCATTCTCACTCATCCACTATCTCCTGTGTTTGTCTCATTCCCTGCCCTTTGTCTTTTCTTTGTGTAAGAGTTTGGTCTTGAAGAGTCCTGGGCTGGATACTTTTTTTTTTCATATCCAATTTTATGACTGTGACTGCTGTTTTCACAGAGTGCTTTCCTACTTGCTATGTTTGTAAAGTTCTGAGAAAGCAAAGACAGAAAAATAAAACCATTGAACACATCGGTATTGGTTTACTTCACAAGGCTTCATGGGCTTCACACTTTGTAAAGTCACGTTATTTATGCCCATAACCCCATGCAAATAGATTTTAGACCACAATATAACTGATCCTGACACTGTAGCATGTTGTGATGAATTATGATGGCATACACTAAAAATGTACATCCATCGCTATACTTAGAATATAGCTGTTTTGTGGACAACATAACCAATTCAACATTGAAAACCTCTGTTCCTGTAAGAGGAGAACAATGTATAACTCTGTGAAATGTATTTTAAGATTGGCTATGTATTACAAATTCATGAATTAGAATTATGTAGCCAGCTACTTCTTAAAGGAAGATAGACACAAAACAGACAAGATAGATGTCTGGACTTGATGAAGGTTAGATACTTTAGACTCTAGATGCTAAATACAAACTGTAAAGAAATTAGCTTAGTGTTCTTGTATTCTTAATATTCTTAGTATTCTAATTTTTTTTAAAAGAAATCAAATTCCAGTTCCCAGGCATTACCAGCCAATGACCTATCAGGATTTCTGCAGATCTCCATTCCACTGCAAATACAGAAGACCCCACTGAGGATGGGAGCAACTCAACAGATCCCAGCCCTTCCCAGACCCCCACCCCAGCCCTCCCTCTACCTGGGATCAGCTTCAGTGCATTCTCCAGGTACTCGTCCTCCGTGACGCTCTCTCCATCGATCTGCAGCTCCAGCATGAAATCCCGAACAGCCCAGATGAAGTCTGGGAAGAAACTCACAAACTCTGTGGAATTATATATTCCATCAGGATTTGGAAAAGACTTTGCCCTGATCAGCTCAGTGAGTTCTGTGACATAACTGGCACTGGGTTAAAGAAAAGTGAATTCACATGCACGTTCTTATGATTCACTTATTAAAAATAAGTCACAATAAAGAGTTTTTGCTGCCCTGGGTCTCCTCTGCCTATCAAAAGCCACACAGTTACAGGGCAGGTCTGTGCCTCCATATTTGTTCCAGAACACTCAATGAAACATGGTCATTCAGGTCCTCCAAGGATACTGCAGCTGCTCCATGGCCTGTTGGTTGATGGTGCCCATGCTGTTGTAGACAAAGGTGCTGCTCAGAAGCACAGCCAGGGCAAAAATCCATGAGTCATTCTTAGGGTCTCCCTGGAAGACACATGAAGGCAGAGTGAGGAACCATTAATAAAAATTCAGAGAGAGAAGTTGGGGTTCAACCTGAAGACCTGAAAAGCAAAACAGACAGCCACTGGCTCTTACTTTGACCTCAGTCTAAAACTGGTGATCCTGCTTCCAGGGGTCTCAGAATGAGACTGTGCCAGAGAGCTGCCTCCTCCCATTTTATAAGCCTCTCAAGGGCTGAGATTAAAGGTGTGCACCACTGGAATTAAAGGCATGCACTGCCCAGATTCCATGGCAAACTAGTTAGGCTACTGGGATTAAAGATATTAAAGGATTACAGTAGTATGTGTTACTACTACCCAGTGTGTAAGGCTGACCAGTGTGGCTGTTTGACTCTCAGATCTTCAAGTTATCTTTATATATGAAAATACAAACAAAGTGCCACTACATTTCCCCTTTTTTGTCTACAATAAAACAGAAGTATATAACTAATATAAGAAAAATTATATATAATAACTAAAATATATACAAACAATAAATACATCAACTATGTCTAGTTTGTTTGCATTTGACAAAATCAGAGAAAATATTTTATATCTCTCCTACCTTGGGGAGTCCAAAGTCTTATACCTAATTTACTTTCTATCCTAATATGCTTTCTGCATCTAGTAAATTATAAATATAGTTATCTAATCTTCAACTCCCTCAGAGACTCAAGAAGGAAATATTATTAACTGAGTAAACAGGAATTGCAAGCAAGTGAATTCCAAAACTGTGGGTAATGACAGAAACAGCTGGCTGCCTAGACAGTCACCCAAACTTCCTCTGCAATGTTATATCATCCATCTTTGACCTACAGGCCTAGCATATCTGACAGACTTTTCTGTGAAGCAGGATAATTTGTCCTGCTTGTCTAATTGGGAAAGAATACTGTCAGCAGTTGAGGCAAGGGAATCTTCTTGCCCACTGGCTTACTTTTGCTGCAAAGAAAGAAAAGGTCATGTGGAATTTCTTGGATGCCCATGATCTTCTCTGAAGTAGATTGGTGCTGCCAGGAGGAGACAAGTCTCATTGTCATAAAAAAAGAATGCAAGTTATTAAAATATCTTAAATACTACACTTCTGTAGATCTCCGAAGTCTTTGATGATAATATGTCTATCTAAAATATATCTGTTTGACCTTGAAAACATACCTAATGTGACTACAAGTTTGATGATACTAGGTGATTAACTATTAACCTACACTTTATTATTATTCTAAATAGCTGGTAATAATAATTTTCAAGGACTAGAAATATGCCTTACATTGTTAAATGAGTTACATAGGTATAATACCTTGAACAAGATTTGAAATGTATGTACAGTATGCTTTAACAAAATTAATTTTAAATTTGTATCAATATACAACATTTCTATACAATATACAAAAGTTCAGTAGAATGTAAAATGTTTAAAGCTAGCAGCTGCTTTTTCAAGTAGATTCAATAATCTACCTTTTCATTTTATCATATCTATATCCTCCCTATTTCTTCAATAACGTTCCCTTTTATTCAATCCTATCTATATCCCTATACTTTTCCTTCTCTTTTTTTCTTTTTTTAATTTTTTATTTATTTTTGGATTTTTGAGACGGGGTTTCTCAATAGCTATGAAATCAGTCCTGGAACTTGCTCTGTAAACCAGGCTGATCTCAAACTCAGAGATCTGCTGACTCTGTCTCCCCTCCCAAGGGCTGGGATTAAAGGCACGCACCAAACCACCTGGCTTTTTTTTTTCATTACAAAGCATGATCATATGTATACCTTTTCTTTTTTTTTCTTTTCAATACAATAGTCTTGAATCTAATTTCCTTTGTTTAGCATTTTTCCTGACCATTATCCAAAACAACTTGTAACCAACACATTAAACGATGACAAATATTCATAATCCATTTTTGGGAATATGGAAATAGTTTTCTGGGCTACTTCCTGCAGAATAAGGGGACTGATAATCTCATGGTGACCAAAATAAAATTAAGAATATAATCAAATCCTGACTTAGAGTATTTTGTGAGGCTGGATCATCTCAACCAGCAGCCATGCAACTGTTCTTGATGTAGAACTCGGAGGAAACCGCAACAGAGGTGCTCTACAATGTTGGCTCATCTGGAACAACCGCTCCTATTGAAGATATTTCAGGGGATGGTTCTTAATCAAACCTTATTTTTTTAACCTAACATGAATCCACGGGCTGTCATTTCCTGTGGAAACAAAAGCAAAACGACTTCTCCAAAGTAGCATACCTTTTGACTTAAATTTTAAAGTCAAGACATTTTAAAAATATATGTTGGATTAATCCAGCAGCATTTATAATCAAATGTCTTTTACAGCTGTGCCTTCCTCAGCAGGCATATAATTCAAAGACAACACAGTAGCATACAGTATCCATACATCTGTGAGTTCTATCTTATATGGAAGCTAAGCCAGGGAAGCTGGGAGCTGGGAGCCATAGTATTTCTCCTGTACCTGGGTGGCTAGGTTTGGGTTCTCACCTGTGCCAGTGGCAAAAAAAGGCACAGGAGAATGGCTTTTTCATAAGTTCATGCCCACACTGGGCATGAAATGAAACATGACTAATAAAAACTCAAAGAGAGAAACTGGGGTTCAACCTGAAGTTCTGAAAAGCAAAGAGCCAGCCACTGGCTCTTACCTTGGCTCCAGTTCAAAAATGGTGATCCTGACTGCAGAAATCTCAGAATGAGACTGTGTCTGAGAACTGTCTCCTCTCATTTTACAATCTTCTGTAGTGCTGGGATTAACGTTGTGCACCGCTGAGATTAAGGGCACACACCACCTGGTTTCTATAGAAAACTAGTGTGGCTGCTGGGTTTAAAGTGTGTGCTACCACTACCTAGTCTGGAAGGATGACTGAGGGTGCTGTTTTACTCTCTGACCTCATCCAAGCTTTATCTATTAAAAGACAAATGAAGTGATATTACAGCAGAGGGCGGAGGAGGAGAACAGTCCTCAGGAGACCATTTGGGCTGCCCTGTGGCCTTGTTATTCCAGGAACTCTGGAGGCCAAGCAGGGGGAGCAAGAGTGCTTTTTCTAGCTGGAGAAAAAAATCCAAACTCTGTCTGAGAAACTTAGTGAAATGTATATTGTTCCTCACAGAACACAGCTCCAAGTGGAGCAAGGACCTCAGATCAGACACCCTGAATCGAGAGAGAGAGGGAGAGAGAGAGAGAGAGAGAGAGAGAGAGAGAGAGAGAGAGAGAGGAGAACAGGCTGGAACACATTTGCTCAGGAAAAAAAAATTCTGAACAGAATCAAGATCTCATAGACTCTAAGGACAATTAATAAACAAGATCTCACAAACAGGAAAAAGTCTATAACAATTATAATCGGATAAATGGTTAGTATTCAAAATATATAAGGAAGAAAAAACAAAACAAGGAACTGAACATAAAAGAAATCTCTACTTAAAATATGTATATAGAACTTAAAAGAAGTCTCTTAAACAATGCAACACCAAAGACTAAGAAACACATGACACAGGTTCCACTCACTTAGCCACCAGGGAGCTGCAAATTCAAAGTGCTTTGAAATTTCATCTTTCATAGAATTGCCAAGAGCAATAAAACAAATGATAGCACATGTTTTTATGTACTGATACGTGTATGATGTCACAGAGAGAATGACATCACATGCAGTCTGCATGGTTTCAAAGGACTTAGAAGGGAAGTAGACACAAAGTCCCAAACGAACTTAAATTTGAAATCTATGATTGTTGCTTCACATATGGTTTTCAAGTACTTACAAATATGCCAATGACATTCATTATAATTAAAATTTCTAAAATTCACGAGAAATCACAAAATACACTCTCTAAAGTGATTAATATTGACCAAGAACAGCAGCACAATCCTTATTTGAAGCAAATTCCTGACTATAGTAATCAGAATAGCATGATTTCTTCAAAAACATGTTCCAAAAGCCTGTTAACAGATACCACAAGAAAAACAAAGGAGGAGACAATGGTTGGTGTCTGTCTCAGAATACCATGCTGAATCCCATTATTTGTACAATTAACATGTGTTGAGGCTTATCCTTGAACTATGATAGTAACAAGAAAAGGACATACACCAATGGGACATAGGAAGAGTCTCATAAATAAATCGATGAATAAACTATCTGCTGATCTTTGCCAAGGCTGTCAAGAACTCACAAAACAGGAAGACGGTGCCTTCCACAGATAGTGCTGGGGAAACAGTGCATCCACATGCAGAAAAGCAGATTTAGATCCCATGCACAGTACACACAAGAGCCATCGGAAATAGATACAGGTAAGTGCTAGGATGTGTCCCTGGATAGGGCAGTCACAGTGTGTGTGTGAGGCAAGCATAGCAGCACAGGGAAGGAACGGCTGCAGTTTTCTCAGCCAAGGCAGGGACTCGACCTGGAGTGATGAGTGGACAGAGAAAACATGCTACACATTTGCACCGGACTCAGATGCAGACACACACGAAAGAAACCCTGTGATATAGACATGCAAATGAACATGGCAAGCATCTAGGAGAGTGGAGTGTCCGGTTCTATGTCTAGAACTAAGAGGAGAATAAAAGGATGAATCAGCAAGCAAGATGACACAGGGTGGAAAGGCTCTAACTGGGCAACCGCAACAGCTTATTTCAATCTCTGGAACCCATGAAGCGGGAAGGGGTTGTGACCTGTGCCTGCACACACACACACACACACACACACACACACCAATCATCTACATGTACCACGTAACATCTCACATGCAGCAATAATCTTTGCAAACCACTCAGTTCCCTTATTTAAACAGCCAAATTTATCCTATTTAGCTATTGTGCGACAAACAGGCCTTCACTGAACCTGCAGAATCAGTTCTCCTCAGATTGCCCCAAGGACAGCTGACAAGTTTCACCATAAAAAATGTGAACCCAAGGGGTTGGACAGATGTCTCAATGGTAAGAACACTCACTGATCTTGGTAAAAGGACCACAGTTTGGTTCCCAACATGCACATCAGATTGCTTCTAACTTTCTGTAACTCCAGCTCCAGGAAATCCAAATCCTCTGGATACCTAGGATGCCTGTACTCACACACACATACCACAAGCAGACAAACACACATGACACACAAAATATAGCTCTCAAAAATGTAAAGCTAACTCCTTAACTCCATTTCCAAAATGTATCCTTGGTATCTCAGAAGACGAGTCAGGATTCTTCATCAAGTGAGATGGGATGATGTCATCTACCTTCCTATGGGAGCATCTGTCCTCCTGACTACTCCTGCTGTGATATCATCTATTCCCATGGGAGCATCTGTCAATCTAACTCACTGCTCCTAGTAGAAGTATCTCTGTGCCACCTGGTCCACCTTTCAGAAGGGAAGATCTTGTTCACCTTGCTCTGTGTGAGCTGATGGGTAACAGCTCTCATATGCCAGCACTTAGAATGACAAGGCCTCCAGGGAAGACTTTCAGTGACCAGCAGGCACTAGAGATGAATACTCTCACCCTTTAACCAACACAGGCTGGCTCTAAAGTCCCTGCCCTAGTTCTCCTTCTGGAGGTCAGAGGGCTGCCCCGTGACTGCTCTTCCCCTCTGCTTCCTGCTTCTTTCTTGGTACTGGACTATATGAGAAGCACTCAGGTAGGGTACTCAATGAAACTATGAAGGTTCGCAGAAAAAAAATTCATTTTATTTTCCAATATCTAACTACTGTACCTATAACCCAGGAATTTACTAACAAACCAAATTTTTATTGGAGTGAATCAAATCATTCACTCAAATGGCAAGAAATAAAAGCATGTTTCTCCTAATATAATACATCTTATCACTGGGTAATAGTGGTACAGGTCTTTAATACAGCACTTGGGAGCCATAAACAGGAGAATCTCCGTGAGTTTGTGACCAGCCTGGTCTACAGAGCAAGTTTTAAAATAGGCTTCAAAGATGCACAGAGAAACCCTGTCTCAAAAACAAAAGCAACAACAACAATTTGATCTTGTATAAATATAAAATCTAAATAAATCAGTCTTTATCTCACCTACAGTAGTTAAGTCTGTAGAACTATTAGATCTATTCATGAATAGGTCAACCAGTTAGATAACAGGGGCTCATAACGGTCAGCATGAACCTCATCCTACCTTTTCCACGTCACCCAGGCCCTCAGTGTCCAGGAGAACCAGGGTGTGCTTTGGCTTTGTGGGGTGTGGCACACACCACATCCAGATGCCCTTGGTTTCTGACTGCACAGTGGAGCCCAGAGGGAAGCCTGCGGGGAGAGGTGAGGGGTAAGTTTCGGGTTATGCACAGGCAGCCTTGTATGCTTAAATTATCAGTGCCTGGAAGCCTTGTGTACTAAAACTTCAGTGCCCAGAAGCCTCCTGTACTAAAACTTTAGTTTATGGAAACCAGCAACATCTTGAGCGATTCTGAAGGTATTGGAAGTTGAGACTAGATCGAGAATAAGGAAGTCTTAACTGATCTCAATCCCTTCCTCAATCTCTGCTACCAGTCTTCCATGCAGCTGCCACGGTGATGTCACTGGAGCCACAGGCTTAACAAACCCAACCACTGGGAAGTGGAATTTCCAAAACTGTTTCGAGATAAGTAACTCCCCATTAAGTTGTTCTCACTGGTCTTTCAGACCCAGCCGTGAAAAGCAAAAAAGAGAACAATGCGCACGAAAATCAGATGGAAACAGTAAATTTGGCAGTGTTGTGAATCTCAAGAGTCAAAATGGTGCTTCATCTTTCCTCAAAAATATGTTAGTTTATAAGTCATCTATTTCAAGCTCTAGTGGGCCTTTAACAAGAGAATGATGCCTCAGAGGACTCCAAATAAAAACAGAGGTGTCCACGATACGGAAAACATGGCGCCCTCTGGTGGCTGCAGAGAGGGTTTTGAGCCAGCCATGGTTGTACACACCTGCCAACCCTGAAGGCAGGAGACAGAGGCAGAGGAATTGTCAGTAGTTTGACAGCAATTAATACTAGATAGGTAGAGCCAGGCCATAAACAACACAGTCAAAAATAGAGGTGTGTTTTACAAGTTGTGGGAAATGGTGTGGGTTCTATGTCAGAGACACTCAAGAAGAGAAAAATAGGAGAGTAGAAAAAAGAAATTGTTATAATAGTTTTATATTCAAAGTTATTAGAGAAAGGCAGGAAAACAAACAGGAATGTGCAACTATAAAAGAATATAAAGTCCTTTAAAATGTTTTTAAAGATTGATTTATAAATGAACAGTTATTAAGATTTATTGATGTCATTTTATGACTACCAGATTTTGCCTGCACATATGTGAGTTTACCATGCACATGCCCCAAATGCATAAAGGCCAAATAAGGGCAGCAAATCCTCGAGAGCTGGAGTTACAGAGAATGCTGAGTCACCACATGGGTACTGGCACCAAATCCTGTACTCTTCAAGAGCAGCCTAGATCATCTCTCCAGCCCTACACAAATTTTTAAAGCCTTAGGTATTCAAAGAAATTTCCCCCAGTGGAAATATTTTATTGAGAAAGAAAACCTGCTGTATGAGACCAGAGACCGACACATAGGATCCCATTACTTAAGGCATCAGAAAAGGCCCTGTCTTGAGCACTCCTGGGAGAGAGTTTCCCTGATGGAATGGAAGGAAAGAATGCAAGAACCGATTATTGGGGAGCAGTAATTACTCATGCAAATTAGCACTAGAGGGTAGATGTGTTGAAAGGATTTTGGCCTTTTTTTGTTCTAATTGGGAATCAGAATTAATATAATGGCACAAACATAGTCAAACCTTTGGATAGTACCCAGCATGCTACTCACCGTGATTCTGTCCTGCCAGACGGTTCATCAGGTAGGACTTCCCTGTACGGTACAATCCAACAATAGCCACAACTACCACTGGCTGGGAAATGTTGTCCAGAATTTCGATGGCTGTTTGGTTCACAGACAGCTGGTCCTTGTGGTTCTCCACCAGACAAATGGGAGCCATCATTTGTGGTCTGGCCATAGCAACTTGCCAAGCTAGAAGAATCTGCAAGAAGAATAGAAAGTCATTCTTTACCTCAGTGTTACTCAAGCCCAAGGTGAGTTAGGACTGATGACATTTGTACATTTCCTAAGGCAGCAAGTAGATACAGAGGACATTCTCTATCATTCTTCCACAGTTCTAAAGAAGATTTATGTAAGACATGGGCTGCCAGCATGAAGAAAGATTGTCTTTAATGAAATAAAACCCAAACAATGGCAATCTTCATAACATCCTACAATATGCTAAGCCTTGTAATGTATGCCTTTAGTGTGTGTCCGCCCACAATCTGTATATGCCTACATGTGACAGATTATTGCACACAACCAATGTAACAAGTGAGTTTGCAAAGCCTTAAAGACCCAGCAAAATGACACAGCAATGGGTTCTAAGACCTTCCTCCCTCTGTGAAGAGAATTTAATATGACTGAAAATGTACAGAAGCTTTGAAACATACCCATGAATAACACACACACTGTGATGTCCTAATTAATAGTGTGAAATACATGTGTATTTACTAGACTTTTCACTCCCCCCCCCCCCCCGCATGCACACCTGACAGATTCTGTCTACAGAAAACAATGTAGCCCTTAATTGCAATAGGCTAGCCTGGGCTAACCTGTTCTCTGTTTTTCCTAACTTGGATTTTAAGAACAGATTATTTCTTGACTGTGATATCAAAATATCAAGGGGATGAATATAGATAAAATAAACGTTGCAAAATTAGGAACTTTTGTGCACCCAAGGGTGAGAATTGTACATTAAATATGCGAGAAAAGATTAATATCTTAAAGTTCTACAGTTACAACTCAGTTTTAAAATGGGCAGAACACTGGACTCTCGTTTCTCCAAAGCAGGTTATGAATGGCCATGAGCACATGAGAAAACATTCAGCATTGCTAATCACTCTGCACAAGACAACTCTAAAATTTTAAAGAATTTATTTGAAAAGATGCAGTGTACAAACTGGGAAGTACAGGAATGAAAGATAAAGTGTCTATATTCCCACAGCAACATGTACGTCTGCTTTATTGGGAAAATGTGGGAGCAAAATTAAGAAACGTTAGCTACTCGATTTCTGTCTTGTGGATCTGGAGACTGGTGTGAAAATCTATAGTCACGTGATCTTGTGTGACTTGGTTTCTTAGACTTTACTGAGTATAGTATAGTATACTTTCTTGCTTCTGGCTAATGTACATATTTGCTTGAAATCACTTGTTGGTTTTGCTTGTGCTCTCTGTTTAAGCAAGAATGAGACTATCATAAGACCTACTTGGTTTATTTGCTCAACAACTTTTCAAACCCAGTCTGCATTATAACAAGGCTTTTGGAAACATTGAGGAACTGCCACTCAAAACAAGAAGATGTCACTTTGTGCCCACCAGGACAGCTACCACACAAAACAAAAACAAATAAATGTGAACCAGAATTTATTCTGCACTGCAGCTAAGACCAGAGAATGATGCTACCTCACGAAGAACACAGTATCGGCTTTTTATGAAAGGAATAGTAATGTTTGATCCAAGAACTCTGCTTTGATTACATTCAATATATAGACAAGGATTTGGACACATTTGAACATCTGTGATCATGGCAGCCATCGGCACAGTACCCAAAATGTGGATGTAACCCAATCTCTCATCAACAGATCATCCACAGATGTGTAGATTCACAGGGTGTGATAACCCACACGATAGAATGTTATTCAGCCAGAGAAAGGAAAAAATCTACTGCACACTGCCACACAGATGAGCCGGAGGATAGTATGCTGAGGAAGGGGAATGTGCAGAATCCTGAGCACTTACATAACAGGTGACATCCTGTCCTATTTCACAAGCACACATTTTGTAAAATTATTAAGAAAGAATAAATTGTGGGGCAATATTATACAGGCCCTACATTGTATGATGGCCAGACTTTCAGGCCAACTTGTACCTGACCACACAGGAGGTGGTCACATAGCCAACAGACAGGATGTTGCCATACTAAACAAAAGATCAGGATATGCTAATATTGTTCTACTTCTTTCTTTGTAATTATGGAGATTGCCAGGATGAGGTGTTAATCCAGGCTACCTGACAAAGCAGCCATAGATGTGGCCCAGACTTTAGTCCTGCTATCCCAGAAACAGAATGCTAAGGAACATCCCCCTCAGTTTACTTTTTGATATAAAAGCTGTTTGGATAATAAATGCAGGTGATCTGCAGGATTTGAAGGATCCCTGGGACTCCCTCTTGATATTGCTCTGTGAATTGTGTCTCAATTATTCCCACTCCTCCACTCTGGTCTGAGAGACAATTTATGTTGGGGCTGGACCCCAACAGAGTACACCTATGGCATGGCAGGAGTTTATACCTAGCATACCAGCTGCTTAAGTGTAAAGTTACACAGCAGAGTCTCTTAAAAGAGCTGCACTTCTACAGACTGCAAGCAATGAGCTCTGTGTACATTCATTTTCCATTTTCTCGGACCCTATGTTAAGGAGATACTGGACCTGGGCTCCGGAGCATTGGACATCGATTATAGTTGGTCTTTTTTGTTGGAATGTAATGACATGGAGACTTATTATGAATTATATAAACTTTGATAATTTACCTTAAGATTATTTCCAATTAGTTCTGATAAGTTATTATGTTTCTATTGATCTACATTTTGCATGTGGTTTTCTTTACCTCTCTTCCATCCTCTATGTCTGAATTGCTCAGTCTCTTCCATGTCTAGATTCAGAAACCTCAGGTCCTCTATCTTGCTTTGCCATCCATTCATATTTTTATTATTCTACATGCTTCTCCCCTTTCCTAAGGAGATCCCCCATTTTCCTATCAAATCAAGTTTTCCCTAAAAATATGGAATCCTTTTCCAATTTGTATGTTACCCTTGCACAGGGGCCATGTTAATCATCTCTGTATCAGTCAAGATTTTAGTATAGGTGCTGCCAAAGCAAGAACGGGAGCTGTCTTTAATGCCCCACTATGATCAATAGATTCTCCAGATGCCTACACTGTGCTATAAATCAAAGAGCTCCTAAGACTTCTACAAAATATTCCACACAGTCGCTGAAGTCCATAGATTAAATGGACTCACAGGACTTCCACAGAATATTTGATACAATCGCTCAAGTCACATCCTCCTTAGCTGTTGTGGATGCTTTGTCAAGAAATACCATATCTTTAGCTGTAAAGCAAGTTTTAACAATAAAAAGATAGTTTCTTGAATCCTAAAAGATCATAATAGCAATAGAAGGAGAAGTCTTTGAAAATCTAAATTCATTCTTGATTACAGTCCTGAACAAACCAGGAAGACAGTCATATCTGAACACAATAAAGGGCTGTAATAATCCTACCAACCACATTATACTTAATAGAAAATAACTCACATTAGTTCCTCTCAATGCTGGATAGAGCCTAGGGTAACCATTCCTCAACTATTATTTAATACAGAATTTTTATTTACAGAGAAATTAGACAAGAGAAAAAAAAGAGTTATAATCAGGAAAGGAAAAAGTCAAATTGCCTGATGAGTGGATGAAACACCACCATGTTTAAAATCCCACTGGGCTGGCAGAGCACTTGTGTAACATATAGAAGCCTCTGGATTTGATCTTATGAACCACATACAAGAAAAGGGCTCTGAATACCATCGAGCGTCCAGAAAGATATCTCTGCAGATAAACATGGGCTATACAAGATTGGGGATCTGAGTTCAATCCAAGAATACCATGAAAAAGGACTACAGTGGTATGCCTTTGTAATTCCAGCACAGGGGAATCACCTGGAAGCTGAAGGACCAGCTACCCTAGAGTACTCAGTATGGAACAAAGTACAGGAGAGACCTCCTCAAGAATTTGGAAGAAAAGAATTGACTTTCAAGCTTTATCCTGTGATTATCACAAACAGTATAACTAACACACACACACACACAGACACACACACACACAGAAAATACTAAGAGAACTTGTGCGAAAACATATCTGGATTAAATAAGCAAAGTACATTATGGAGATATGTTTGCACACCTCTGAATATTCCCATAGTCACACAATTGTGCACTATAAGTCACTGAGGTGTGTGATATTAATTACACTACAATAAAGCCTTTCCTGATGAGAAAAAATGTAAAACCAAAGTCGGCAAGACTATTAATTTTTGTTACTCATCCTAAAGTGAGCTGAACAGTAATCTTTGTATAGAAAAGAAATTTAATTTTCTATGCACCAATGTAGTGTGTGTGTGTGTGTGTGTGTGTGTGTGTGTGTATAAGGTAGGCTTTCCAGTTCTTTCATTTCCATAATCCATCTTAATTCTAATTACTTTCCTCAAGCAGCTGGTTCTGAGATTTCCTACTTCATATGGTTTTCAAATATAACCAAACTTAAATCAGAAATAGTCAACAGAATGTCCTGGATGTCAGGAAAGATACCCTAAACTGATCTTACACATTTTTCAAATTCAAAATGTATGCAATGTGATTCGAAGGTAAGTATTTTCAAATACTTAAAGAATGCAAAATTCACATAACCCGTGGAAAACCTCAGTTTATCTTTAAGTAAGACCAGTTCATCAAATTGTCTATAACAAGGTAAGGAAAATTACAACTACAGTTTACCTTAGCAGAGGCACTGCTCTGGCATTATGGGATGGTTCTAGGCATAGCCTTTCTTTGAGTCTCCTCAACATCCCAATTTAACACACACACGAGATGTTTCCCCAAAAGCAAAGGTCAAAAGAAGCTTCTCTGAAGAGTCATTATGTTTCCCCTTCTTGATCCTGAGCTGGGAGACTGATTGGCCCCTTCTTGCTATGAGCTCAGGAATGCAACTTAAATGCCTGGAGAGATGGCTCAGTGATTAAGAGCACACACTGCTCCTAAGAGAACCTAGATTCCATTTCCAGCTTCACATAGGGGACTTCCAACTGTCTGCAACTCCAGTTCCAGGGATCCAGTGACCTCTCTGGCCTTAATGGGTACCAGGTATTCAAGTAGTACACTTATATATATGCAAGTAAAACACTCATGCACCTTAAATAAAACTGAATAAATCACTTAAAATGTAACCCTGTTTAGCTTTGAGGGCCCCTAAATGTATTTATGATGTTCTTTCTAACAAAAATTCTCCATTCTAGCCTGTATTTTATTTTGTGAGAGGGTCAGGGAGCTAGAGAAGGGGTCTGATAAATATTTTTAGTAGCCTCTCAAGAGACCAGGCCTTAGTTTCAGTTTGCTGGAGCTGGCTGGATCTGAGCAAGTAGTTATCAAGGAAAACCACAGCTCAGGGTCTAACTAATCAGCAGGCACCCCACAGCCTTCTGCTGCTAGTCAGGTGCCCACAACCTTATGCTAGGTAAAGATAGCTTCCCTACCCTGCACCTGGAAAGTTACTGATCACTAGATCTACCTACAAATCTTATAAACTTTTTTTTATAAACCCAGTAAGTAGTAGGTCCCCAAACTAATCTCTCCTCCACGGAATTCCCCTAACCCTGTTTAAAAGGAGCCTTTGTTGGATAATCAATCAAACCCCAAAATGTTGGTATTTTTTCATCTTTCTGATGCTAACATTTTTCACTTATCATATTTATCCGCCTGTCAATTGCTTCACAGATGCTTAGCCACAGTTTAGTACAGAAATAGGCTCTGCATGAGTGTGCGTTTTAGGACACATTGACTGAAGATGATGCACTGATGGAGAGAGGCATGTGTTAGTATCATAAGAAGGACTCTTCTGTGCAAATGTCCAGGCCTGTACACATGTGCTGAATAAATAGGTGTTACTATAAAACTTTCTGTTTTCCTAAACTGGACCAGTGGTTACATTTCTTACAAGTATTACACAGGAAAATAAAAGAAGATAGCATTTTAGATACATAATTCAGTCGCAGGTTTATACTCTAGCTGTTTAGGCTTTTAATTTTTTCTGTCTGTTCATAGTTGTTATGCACTATCTGACTAAGAGTTGTAAGAATTTAATGAATATCTGTATAGCGAACTAGAGATTTTTGAACAAATTTTAAATCATAAAATAAAGAAAAGAAAGAAATTGTTTGGGTCCCTTAAAATGCCAGTGTTAACAAATTTCTTTTGCACTTGTGGGAACTTCACTATTTGATAAAATTTTTAACCACCCGACATCATCAAGTTATTCACCTTCACACATCTGGAGAGACCAGAGGTTATACGTCTTCAACCCACCCTGAACACTTTCTACAAACAGGTGACATGACCAAGACTTTGCATCTCACACTTGGAAATGAGCTGAAAAGGAGTTCCCAGGCCTGTCTGCCCACACTCACCAGGGTCAGATGCAGAGGGCCAGTGTTCCTGTGCACAGGATGGGAGAAGAGTTGCAGCTCTGGCCTGAGGCTCTGTTTTCTGCCCCACAGTGTCCTAGAGCCTCTGTATCCAGGTCACTTCTGTTGCTCTCCTTCAAGGGTGCAAAGATATGTGCCTTGTAAAGATAGGAAAGGAAGGAGCTGGTCAGGATGCCATGGGGTGGAGGAGGGAGGGTGGGGTGAGCACACTGTGGTTTGGGGCACTCTGGAACCATGAGATTGGGGTACTCCAGCTAAGGGCAAGCTTCCAGAGAGCTGATCAGTCTGCACTGTACCCTATGTAAGGCCAATATCTGTGCTGGAGGATGAGAAGTCAGTATCTAGAACCCCAGAAGAGAGAAAACAAAAGTAATGTTTCTGGGGACTAGGTAGTTAAGAAATGAGGGTGTAACAAACATGGGGTTCAGGACAGCTGAGAATATGACTTGTCAAAGCCTCAGGTTGTTAATATAAATTGATTTGCTGTTTCACTTTACTTCTGAAGAGACCAATTTATAAATAATTCACTGTTCACAATCGTAATCCCCATAATTGAGAGGCTGAGGCAGGAGGTTTGGGGGCTTGGGTGCCTGGGCTAAACATCGAGCTCTATCACTTATGAACAAGTGGAGAGGTAGAATAAAGTGTAGACTGTTAACCTGCAGTTAGATGACATAGTGTATGCAGTATAGAACCACTAGACAGACCAGAAAGTTAACTATTGAAAAGTAAGTCAGTTTTATACTGGGAAAGAACACAGCTGGGGGAGAAAAGGGGAAGGGGAGAGAGCAGCAATGAGACACAGAGGAAAAACAGAACCACAGGGCTTTCCTTAAGCCCCACCATGGCCGTCAAATCCAAAGGCCACCACATTCTTACGTCTGTCATTTGTTATCCACTTCTATTTAGTTTTTACTTCTATTATGAAGTAGAGCTGGTGCCCCAAGTATGACACTGAATTATATCCCCAAATCCAAGATTTGATAGCTATATAATGAATTTTGAAGTTGATTCTCTTCACCCCCTAACTCTAAACCTGAGCTTACTCTGAACCCAAGTGGATCTGCAACCCTGCCTTACACTTCTATGGTGCCTGGAGCCCCTGGACCAAGAACTCATAAGGAGGCTTCCCACATCTGTGCAGGATTTTTGTTTAAGATCCCATGACTCTGGGAGCAGTGTTATCCACTCACACAGAGAACCACCCTTCAAATTCATTTTTTAACTATTTTTGTATAATCAGCTTAAACACACAAATCTAAAAATTCTAAGGGAGGACAAATATATTTATCTTCCCAGGCCTGGATTACCTCACTTGGCATATTTTTCCAGTTCAATTCATTTTTTTACAAATTTAATTTTCTTTACTACTGATTAAAGTATTATCATATACATGTACTGAAGTGAAAAGGGCAAAGCCATGTGGTCCTGAGACGATTTTGGTTAGCTCAGACAAGTCTCAGCTCTCTACCCCACAACAGTGATGTCTCCCTTGGAAACAGAGTTGGGATTCCCATGACCATGGTCCAGATTTATTAACCAAAACAATTAGTGCTAATCAAATTTAAACTAAACTGAAGAAAGTGTAAGTCGAAATGAATTGTCATGTTGTGTCTGAATAGCTATGTTCTGTCAAAACAGATGATGTAAGGTTACTTTGCTTCTCATCCAACATCAACATAATTGTAGGTTTTGACTTTAAAATGCTGTACCTCTGACCATCAGCAACAGGACACTTGAGGCATGAGCTCACTCTTTTCAGTGGTCGAAACGAAAGGACTTTGTAAGGTTAATTGTCTACATTAGTGTGGTGGTCTGTATCTCCCTGGCGTGAATTTACCATGGTGCCACATTTCCTTTATACTCATCACCAGCTCCATCTAACACTGACATCCAGACTATTAACATTTCCTCTATTATAACTAGAGCAGCAATTAACACAAATGGACAAGTATATCTGTAATAGGAGACAGAGTTCTTCGGATATATATGGTAAGAAAAAACCCTCACCGGTTACACCCTTAACTGGAATAACAGCCAGAATAACAAAAAACCTGAAAAATCAAGAAAGTAAATGACACAATAGGCTATGAAAATAAACAGAGCGCTCTCAACAGAAGAAACACACATAAAATCGAAACTATCATATAGGTTAGCATATCCTGGCCCCAAGTTCTACTCCATTGATTTACATCTCTATATCTGTGCCAGTGCTGTATGTTTTTAATACCATGCTCTGTTGTATATGTAGCACTGTAGTTATTGCTCAGGGTTGGTTTGGGGGTCCCAGGTTCTTTTATGGTTCAATATAATTTTAAGATATTTTTCTATTTCTGTGAAGAATAGTGGAATTATAGTGGAGATTGTATTGAACCTATAGACTTCTTTGAAACAGCAATTTTCACAACAGTGATTTTTCCAATCTACGTGTATGGAAGATTGACTTTCTGAGATCTTCCTCAACTCCATTTATTTATATAAAATACAAAATTCTATTTATATAAAATAAAAATTATTTATTATTTTTAAAAAATATATTTTGTAAGTATATTTTATAAAAATATTTATATTCTTTTTATTCCACGCTGATTTCAACAGCACCTGTATCAGTTTACAGTTCCACCAGTAGAGTAATATTTTTTTTAATTTATTTATTTATTAAAGATTTCTGTCTCTTCCCTGCCACCGCTTCCCATTTCCCTCCCCCTCCCCCAATTAAGTCCCCCCCTCTTCAGCCCGAAAAGCAATCAGGGTTCCCTGTCCTGTGGGAAGTCCTAGGAACCCCCACCTCCATCCAGGTCTAGTAAATTGAGCATCCAAACTGCCTAGGTTCCCAGAAAGCCAGTGTGTGCAGTAGGATCAGAAACCCATTGCCATTGTTCTTGAGTTCTCAGTAGTCCTCATTGTCAGCTATGTTCAGAGAGTCCGGTTTTATCCCAGGCTTTAGACCCAGGCCAGCTGGCCTTGGTGAGTTCCCGATAGAACATCCCCATTGTCTCAGTGTGGGTGCACCCCTCATGGTCCTGGGTTCCTTGCTCGTGCTCTCTCTCCTTCTGCTCCTGATTTGGACCTTGAGATTTCTGTCCAGTGCTCCAATGTGGGTCTCTGTCTCTGTCTCCCTTCATTGCCTGCTGAAAGTTAATATTCAGAAGGACGCCTATATGTTTTTCTTTGGGTTCTCCTTATTTAGCTTCTCTAGGATGACTAATTATAGGCTCAATGTCCTTGGTTTATGAGCATTCATTTCCTCGGTTAGGTTTATTCCAAGGTTTTTACTGCTTCTGAGGCTGTTGTGGTTAATATTGCTTCCTTGATTTCTTTCTCAGTCCGTTTGTCATTGGTTATATGAAATCTACTGATTTTTGTTTGTCAGTTTTGTATCCTAGCACTGTTCTGAAGGTTTTTGTTAGCTCGAGGAATTTTCTGGTGGAGTCTTTAGAATCTGTTATGTGTGGTTTTCTGTTATCTACACATAAGGACACTGTGACTTCTCCCTTCATGTTTAGCCTTCTCTCTCTCTCTCTCTCTCTCTCTCTCTCTCTCTCTCTCTGTCTCTCTCTCTGTCTCTCTCTCTGTCTCTCTCTCTCTCTCTCTCTCTCTCTCTCTTCTCTCTCTTCTCTCTGTCTCTCTCTCTCTCTTGTTTTTGACACAGGGTCTCTCTGTAGCTTTGGAGCCTGTCTTGGAACTAGCTCTAGTAGATCAGGCTGGCCTCAAGCTCACAGAGATCCACCTGCCTCTGCCGCCCGAGTACTGGGATTAAAGGCGTGTGCCACCACCTATACTTCCTGCCTGGCTACTGGCCAATCAGCATTTATTTAATGTAGCGGCGTAAACGAATGCAGACAGATTGTAAAAATATATATATAGTTTTAATGTAGAAATAGACTTACAGAACCACCGTTCCCGTGGAGACCAGGAAAGCAGAAGAGACAGCTCGGAGCACGCTCACCAAATTTATAGGCAGACATTAGCCCGAGGCGAACACGCCCCCTAAGGGGCGGGACTTATCCCTACATCTCCCCTTTTTGTCTAAATAAGACAGAACTAAACCAAATACAACTACATACAATAACAACAAATAATAAATATAACAAACAACATTGAGAACAAAAGCTTTGCTAAACATTCTATCTCAAGGAGTCCAAATAATGTAAAGAGTAACTACAATTATATAATCTTCAACTCAGTCAAAGATCTGAGAAGGGAATAAACACTACTCAACAAACAAGATATATCCAAAATGTGCAACAATTGACAGAGACAACTGACTACCTGGGCAATCACCCAAAGTCTCGTTTGCAATGTTGAGTTAACCAATTTTGGCTAAGGCCTAACATAACTGACATACCATTATTAAAGGCAAGGAACTTTTCAAAACTATCTTACCCTGTCTTGGCAGGATATGACAGTCCTGTTTTACCCATTGATGCACGCTCCGTATCTGTGTCAGTGGTTGAGGTATGGGCATTTCTTTGCCCAAAGGCCAGTTCTGCCAAATAGAAAGGCTCAACTTTCTCTCGGGAATAGAGCGGTATTGCCAGGAGCAATTGTGTCTCACTATCACGAAACTCTGAGTTAGATTAAAGGCCATTTTCTACAGCTCTTTGAAGAGGTTGAAGATTATCTATCTATATTGAGTATAATCTCTATATATCTAAAGAACCTGATTAGTCTAATTATAAATGACAAACTTAGATGACTATTTATCTATATAATTCTCAATATCTATCTAACTTAAAGACTAAGACAATAAACAACTGTGTAACAAATGAAGATAATGACCTGCAAATATAAACACTGTACAAATATACATTGCAATATGGCAAATATATATCAATAGACAAACATTATATAAGTATCTTAATCGGAGGTAGAAATGTACATTGCAATATGGTAAATATATACAATATATATATATCTATCAATACAATATATGTCAATACATAAAAATGTTTTAAACAGAGATAGAAACATGCATGCATATAATAGTCAATATAATTTAACTTTGTTTCAATATACAAGAATTGATACCAATATATTTGTCTAAAAGCAGTAACTCACAATTATAAATCTATTATCCCATCATTCCCTCTTTTTTTTTTCAAAATGATCCCTGAGCTTATAAAATTCCTCCCCC